GCATAAGGATCGTTAGAAACTGAGAAAAGAGAACGATTACGCTAGTTCACGATACCTACATTGAGAAGATTGCAAAGAAGTTTAACTTAATCGATAGAACCTTTCTAGCTACTCCTCTACCGTTAGAAGAGCTTAAAAAGTTCGAGAGAGAAGCCACTAAGCAAGAAGTTAAGCTTTACTAGGAAAAGGTTGGATTAGCATTGTACACTGCGATAATGCTGCGCCTAGACGTAGCTTTTACAGTATTAAAGCTGTCACACTACCTAACTAATCCTAGCTAAACGCATATGAGCATAATCGATTAAGTTATTATATACCTGTATCGTACACAATGAGAAGCGATCTAATACGGCAATTATAATGGTCCTAACCTTATAATATGTGAAGACGCATTATTTGCAGACGACTTAATTACCCAGCGCTCATCTTATAGATACATAGCTATGCTCTTTAGAGGAGCTATCCTATAGAAAGCTGCTCAGCAAAGTACAGTAACGACCTCTATAACTAAGGCTGAGCTTATTGCACTTAAGCATGTTGCGAAGGAAACTATTGCCTTAAAAAGGTTCTTTGACGAACTTACATTTGATCTAGGCGATTTATAGAAGATCTAGTGTGATAACTAGCAAACAATCAGACTTGTTGTTAGTTAAAATAAGCGAATTACTACCTGTCTTCGACATGTTGACATATAAAACATGTAGCTTAGATAAGAACACGCAAAAGGATCATTCTCAGTGGAGTACTTGCCAACAAAGGAAATGCCAGCAGATAGACTAACTAAAGCTCTTACTTATCAACAATTCGATTACTTCAAGCAGCTTTTAAACCTTAAGGACATAGTTGGATTAGTCACGGTTAATAGCAATAAGGTGTAATAGCATCAGTTTGATTACTATCAGAAAGGGCCTTTAAGACTAAGAAAGCTCGAGCAGAGCAAAAAGAAGCCTTTTTAACTGCCTGCTACCCTAGAAAGATCGTTTAATCCAGCACATCTATATAAGAAGTGAGGAGAACTACGCCTAAAGCGTTAAGAAAGGAAAAGTTTGCTTAATAGCAAGAAGATCGAACTGAGACACTTAGTCTAGAAGGTCTAAAGCTATCTGCATAAGACGCATTAAATCCTCTATAATGTAAAGCACAGAAGCACGACGCTCGTTACGATTAGGTTAAGCTAAGGTGTGGTATCGCTCACGAACATCTAGAGCAGGGGCAAGAGAATCCTAAGGAACTCTACGACGATTAAGACGCCTCTCTTGCCTCACTATCTTGTCCTTAAACGAAACAAAAGAGACGACGTTACCCTAGTTAAAGTGACGCGCCTCTTCATTATCTAATAGATAGCGATCAGCGTAGCTCTGACTAGGGCGATCTACTAAATTTGCGATAGGGAAAAGGTTGGCGTTAGGGTTAGTTGTATAAGGAAGCTTAAAGGAGAACAGATCGGGCTGTAGAGTAGCAGGACTAGGTAGCGCAACCTTCTCACTACTAGTTAAAGGGGTGGCAGCACTACTGCGGTCAGCTCGATCGCCACTACTAAACTTAGAGGCAGAAGGAGTAAGCGCTAGTTAACTGTTACGAGCATCTTGACCCTAGGCAGCAGCAGTAAGCTGACGATTCAACTCAACTAATTCGGAAACTTAAGGATTAGCATCAGAAGGCCGCTGAGACTGCTGAGAAGTTTAGGAAGAAGGGCGAATTAGACCTTGCTCAGTCTCCCTAAAGGCAGGACGCTTTAATCAATCTTTACAAGGCTTCGCCGCAGTACCAGTCTCAATAGACTTAATTACAGCAGGTTAAGGAACGTCCTTCAGACGCGCCTCTTAATTAGCCTTCTCCTTCGCGAGGCGCGCCTCTCGTTTAATAAGAAGCTTCTTTGAGCGCGCCGCTGCATCAGCTTTAGCCTTCTTAATCTTCTTAAGACTAGATCGAGTCTCAGCAGCACGCCTATTAAGCTCCTTTGCCTAAGCTTCTAATCTCGATGACTTAAGATCAGCCTTACTGTCACCGATCGTTATTACCGGATTAGAGCTAGTCAGATCAATAGTGCCCTGTCCGGTGTTGCCCGTAACAATAGGCGGAGTGTTAAATGAGTATTCCTGCTTAAACTAAGACAGAAGCTTGTGCTGCGCCCCTATAGAGAGAGCGTTTTAAACGTTAGCAGCATCTAGGATCTGCTTAGCAGGTGACTTAGAAGGCTTAGAGATCGAAACAATCGGCTTAGTGCTACGAAGGCCGCTGTTTAATCCACTTAAGCCTGCTGCCTTGCGAGAAAAAGGAGAATTTAATCTATGAAGGTTAGTCGAGAGTAGCCTTGTTCCTCCTCTTCTCTCTAGGCGCCTTTTTAGGCACAAGAGGAGCAGGACGAACAGGCCCACGCAAGCCGCTTAAAGAGAGACTTAACTCTAGATTAGTGGAATGCTGAACAGAGCTACTAGGTGCAGCTTAAGCTAGTTAGGAAGAGGCAGCATAACTAGGACGAATCGATTTCTTGTTCACGCCAAGAGAGGTGTCGATATGACCTATTTAGTCATCAAAAGCGACCGGAGCGTTAAGATCAAAGCTAGCTGAGGTTAAAGCGCCCTTATCATTAAATAGCTTATTAAGCACATTAGTCTTACGACCGAAAGGCTTAGCCTGCTTACCACGCTCGGTTCCTGGAGGACTAGGGCTCAGGCTAGAAAGATTGCTAGCAGGCACCGTAGTCTTATCCTCCTCCTTATCATCTTGAACAGAGGCCTAGTGAGCAGACACCTTTAAAGAGGTCAAATCAGTTAAGAGCAACTTTCCATCAGGGCCTATTTTCTGACTAAAAGGATCCGAATAGGGTTACGAAGGCGTAAGTAGCGCAGCTTTCCTCGCGCGCTTAGAGGTCAGATTAGATGCGGCAGTTTCGGATCGGTCGCGCTTAAAGCCGGACGGCTTATTATAACTAGCGATGTACTTACGGACCTCGTCCATAAGCTCATTTTGCCTATTAGTATACTCAGAAGTCTGCAAAAGATCAGTACAACGCTGCTACAATAAGATCAACGATCACTTACAGTCATAGTTGCCGTATTGCCTATGGCGTAGTTGTACAAAGCCATCGTCTTGGTTACAAAGGGATTAATGCTATAGTACAATTAGTACGAGAGGTAACCAAAATAAGGTAAGAAATATGCCTTAGAATGCACTGCTTGAAGTTGCAGGCGGCGCAACGACCTAACTTGCTACTCTTATCAATACATTCGAGCTTGTTCTTAGTTAAGTTGCTTAACTACTTAAGGATGCAATTAGCGCAAGGGCTCTCGCGGGGTGCCTCAGCGACTGGCTTCGATAGAGTATCTGAGGCCAGATCGCTCTCCTCAGAAGCTGACTTCTGCTGATTAATTCGAGCTGAGGCGCGCGTGCCTTTCGAATCTGATGCCTTAGAGGACTGAGCGGCGCGAGCGTTCTCAAGGTTCTTCTTCTGCGCTAGAGTAGCCGTTTTTCCCTTTTGCTGCGAAACAGCTAAGTTAGCATAACCGATAGCCTGGAGTTCAAGGCGATCGCGATGCAGAGTACGCGCAAGGTACTTAATCACCTCTTAATTAGTAGGACTTACTGGAGCCATAGTCAGCGGATTGAATTCTTGAAGCTAGGTGGTAGAGTGTTAAAAGATCGTGAGGCGCAGGGCAAGGTGTTAATATCGCGCGCGCTAAGGCTAAACGCGCAAGTTAACTAATCTCTACGACAACGCAACAACAAACAGACGCTTACTAATCAAGCGATTAGGGCAGAGCAGAAGCGGGGTAATAGCTTATTCACATGCATACTGCGTGACGTTATCTCAATCAAACAGGACAATTAAGATAGGGGGTGTGTCGCAGTATTAATACATGAGAACAGTGAAGTACTGATCCACGTGACTGAGCTGACTAAGCTTAGGAAGTAGACTAACGTTTCTCCGTAATCTGTTTGTATATTTAAGCCAGCTCTTCTGATATATTAGAAGAGCAGTGATCAATACAATCTTTTCTCTTAAGTTTACTCAGCTACAACAAAATATTAATAGAAGCATGCTAGCATAGTGCACTATAAGATATAGTTATAATAAAACTCTATAGAGCTATATTTATAATTAAACTATTAATATAATATGTATCTTAAGAAAAACGTTTTAGAGAGTCTTTATAGAAAGATTAAGCTAAAGCTTACGCTGTGCTCTTTTCTTAATGCTATAGATATATTATATTATTAAGTATACTAATAACGCTAGAAATATAGCTATAATTTAAATAAATTAAGCTAAATAGACCTAATAAGGTAATAGATAAGCGCCTCTAAGATATGCTAACAGAAATTAACTATAGGCAATACTAGAGAATAGTTAATAATAGTATATTTACTAATTATATAGTATAGCAGATAATCTCTTATAAAACTATATAGAGAGCATAATACTTTAGAGATATCTATATACTCTAATATACTCTTTAAGATATAACTAATTCTTTATAGACTAAATATAATTCTTTACTAGTATAAACTTATATACTATATAGAAAAACGCCGTAATTTATAGTAAAGAATATAAGAAACTAGTAAGTGCGCAGTAGCATAGCACTATCTTCTATAAAGAGAGCGTAGCTACTTAGTTAGATATAAGAGAGTATAAAGATCTATATTAAAGATAGATACTAATACTAATAGTAAGACTAAGAATTATAGAAATTAAGAACTATGCAAAGCGTAACTCTACTATTTTTATTATAAGAGACTATACTATAATTAAACTTATAAGACTTAGTAACTTCTATATAGTCTTAAACTTATAAACCTAGAAGATATGCTAGTTCTAATAAAGAGATGCCTATACTCTTACGCACTAGTTAATCTATAGAGACTAGATATTAAGCTAGAATAAAAATAATTAGTTAATATAAACTAAAATAGAATACTGCTGCTATATAGTATACCTCTTAAATATAGAAGAATATACTACGTTCTATGCAATATAAGTAAAGATACTATAATTACTAAAGTAGTTTATATTAACTTATATGCATAAGCCTTTCTTCTACTATCTTATCTAGTAGATCTATTTTATTAAATGCTATAGAGAATATAAAAACGCTAGATAAGAGAACTAGTATATCTAAATATAAAAGTATACTTAATAAGGCTTAGGTAATATTATTATTATAGTTATTAATAAATAATAGAATAACGCTATATAGTATACCTATTAATCTATAGCTAGATGCTTATAGAAGTATATTTGCATAGCTAATACTAGATGCATAGTTAGAAGCTTAGAAAATAGCGCTTCTGCTAGTCTACTTATCTATAGTAACTACGCTCTGCAGAAGTATAGCCTACTAAGTAAGTATAGTTATAGACTATCTATAACTATAGCTAATAGTACTTATTAGATATTAGATATATATAGTAATCTGCAGACGTATATAATAAGATAAGCATGCATAGAAGTTATAGCTATATATACTCTAAACTATCTTAAACTATAAGTTCTTAAACTAAGTAAGCTGCTCTAGAATTTTATCTACCTATACTAGAATTCTAGAAATATAAGTTAATCTAGAATATAATAGTATTAGCTTACAGAGTAATAGCCTACGTTATTCTAGTTTCTAAATAGTGCAATTGCAGCTATTATAGCATAAGCGTTCTATAATAATAGAAAATAGAGTATTAGTGCTATAGCAGAGAACTAGAATAAGTTTTAGTTTCTAAGCGCTAATATAATAGCGCTTATAGGCATAGTATTATATAATACTATTAAAGAGTACTATAATAACAGAATAAGAAAGATAATCTATTTCTATAGTTATACTATAGAGAGTATGTTATAATAGCACTAAACAACAATAGCTAATATAGTATAGATAATTATAACGCTATCTGCAAGAAGTAGAGAAGGCTAAGCAAGATATACTATCTTCTTATTTAAGATACTTTAAAATAATAAATAGCTATATACGCAAACTATATTAAAAACTCTAGATCTAATATTACTATGCTAGACGACTATTATAATAACAACGTTAATAATATTCTTATAAAATATATAGATAATAAGCAGCAACGATATAATATATTAATAGAAGACTATAATTACGTAGGAAAATAAGAAGATAATATTCTTACTATAGATAAGTATAGAACTAGTTATAGTAATAAGAAAGATATAAAGGCTAATAAGAGAGAGATAAGATACCTAATATAATATAAGAGCAAAAGCTAATAGATAATAGAAAGAGACTAGAGTGCAACTGCGCGAATTATTAGAGAAAATATATAATATATTGCTTAGAGAGTTTTATAGAGCTAATAACTTTATAGAAAGTATAATATATAATGATAATAAGTAAGTATAGTTTTAGAATAAAGAGAAAGGTTAGAGTATTATAACAGATAGCACGTAAGATAAGTTTACTATATTAGTAGAGAAATATATAATAGATAATTGCATTATGTACGCTCTAGCGCTAATAAAAGATAAATAAGAATTAGAGCTAGAAGACTACAACGCTCTAGTAGAAAGATATAAAGAAAAGATAAACTGCTCTAATCTATATAGTACTATATAATAGTTAAATAGATAATGCAGAGTAAATTAGCAATTAATAGCTATATAATTATATTTCTAAAATGCATTAAGTCTACTATAGTTTCTAGAGTAATAATACTATCTTATATAGTTACTAACTATATAGAACTAGCTTATATATAGTTACAGATATAAGACTCTATCTCTAATAGCACTAAATTATAGATAGAGTAAGCTTAATAGCTGCAGCTATATTTGCATAGAGAACTTAGACTACCTATAAAATATACGCAACTAACGTAGTCTACCTCTTTTACTCTTTATAGAGTATATAGAATTATTTTGTATACTAAGTCTAATAACTAAGTATAGTTGAAGTAATATAGCTATATAGTGCTAAATAGTAGAGGATAGTAACTAGACTATTCTAACGTTAACCTAATATTAGAAAAAAGTAACTAGAGTAACTTTATTAAATCTATTATATCTATTAAATTAACAGCGAATTGCAGCAACACTACTAACTAGATACTTTTTACTTTTTCTAACGTAAGAAGAAGAATCTACTTTATAATTAAGTTATTATAGTCTCTAAGAATAGCTAGATAATAAATAAGCTTAGTCTATAGTAGCTAAAGCACTTTAATAAGTATATAAAAAGATATACTATTAGGACAGTACGTTTGCTTATTATTAATAGCTATAAGAGCTATAACTTACTTAAATTCTAGTAATACTATAAGAATAATAAGATTATTACTATCTATATACCTTCTTACTTATTGCACTTTCTGCAGCTTCTTAATATAGATTATTTTACTTCTTTAAAGAAGGTATATAGATACTAAGCTAAAGAGCTTATATATAACTAGATTATATATATTATAAAACTTAAGTTTCTACTATGCTTTAAGCGCGCCTTTAACGTAGTAATTACTTCTAGTAATATCTAAGAAGAGTTTTAAGGCGCTAGATTAGTCTTATTTAACCTAGAGTAAGTTATATTAGCTCTTAATATCTATATCTATACTTTACTATTACTTACTATTAAAGACTATTCTTTAGCAGTTATAAACTCTAAGTAATACTCTTAAATTAGAGTTATAATTAACGCTTATAAAGGTAAGAATTTAGAAGCATATAGATAGCTTACTAACGTCTATAGTAGAGGCCTTTAAGAAGATCTTAAAGAAAGATAGTAATTATTACGCATAAGCTAGTATTAGCGTAGAAGAAGATTACTAAGCTTTAAGTAGCTAATAAAGCTACTACGTAATATAAATTATATAAAAGAAAGTATATATAAATAGAAGAGACCTTAATAGTTAAGAATAGTCTTTAATAGTTAACTCTAAAGAAGTTTAGAGCACGTAGTAATAAGAAGAAGATAAAGAAGTAGATATATACTAAAATAAGATAAGCTCTCTTAAAGGCAGTATAGATAGTATAATAAGACTAGGCATAATCACGCATATACGTATAAGAAAGTAGTAGAAGTAGACTCTAAATAATATTATATCTTACTTTATACTATATAGAGCTAAAGTAGGCTATATTGCGCTAGAATAGAGTAGTTTTAGTAGAAGCTTAGCAAAAGTAGTCTACTAACCTATATAGTCTGCTAACCTATAATATACATTAATATATTATATTAAATATACGCAGCTAGTAGTACTCTTGCTATATAAGTTCTAATATTTTTCTATAGCTAGAATAGCTACCTAATAGAGCGTTATACGTATTAGAATAATATTAGAAAGTTATAGCTAGAAGTAAGTAATAATAAGAATAACTAATAGAGTTATTATAAAGAATAGATAAATTGCTGCTATTAAGAAGTAATTCTCTTTCTACTCTATATACTAGCTTTCTAGCAGCTATACTAGGCCTACTTAAGACGCTAAAAGCGTCTTTAGTGCTAGAGTACTAATATTATTCTTCTTCTTAGATATACTTGCCTTAAGTAAATACGTCTAATATAAAAGAGCGTTTAGTAAGCTAAAATAAGCTATTATAGCTTATTTAGAGCTTAAAACGCGTATTAGAGATCTATAGATTAT